TTCTCTGTGCGGAATAGCTGCTTACATACATGTATGGCCATATGTGTCAGTTAACTTTGCTTGCTATTTTTGGTTCCTATTTTGTCTTCTATGTATAGACTTTTTAATGGCCCTGTTAAAGCTGTTACTCTAGTAAAATGGCAACTGCCAGCCTTGACAAGTGCTATGTGCTTTGATTCATAATTCAGTGGCACCCTAGGCTACAGGTGGTGGGGGGACCTGCAGCACACCCTTCTTACATGTGCAGCTCCACTCTCCACACCACTGCCAGGTTTGCTGAGCTCAGTTAAGTAGCATCCCATGCTGCTTCTAAGGAGTGCATTGCTTTGGTGACATTTCAACCCTCCAACAGACCTTTATTTTCATTAAAGCATTTATTTACCAGAAATGCAATGAACATAAGAGCAAAATCTATCTCTAAAAATATGTGTAATCCAAAATTCCCAATATATTATTATGCTATAAATTATTTTGAAGCAAACATCGGACAAAAAAAAAAAAACTTTTGTGTTTTACCTGTCACCAAAAAATACGAAGAACTAGTCAAATTCTTATCTGCTAGAAAGAAATTTAGTCCAGTCAGGAAAAAACAAGCAAACAAAATTTGCTATTTTTCTATGCTTTCATACAGTGCGTACTTTGATAGGTTTACAAAAGATGAATAGGCTATTAAAAATAGCCTATTTTTTCCCACAGTAAATCTAAAATAAGCAAGTTCTTATTTCTAATCTAGGAAGTTTGAGGTTTTCTCTTTCTTTTTTTTTTTTTTTTTTTCAAGAAATTACCTACCAGTTTAAAAGTAAGATGAGGACATGAAGGGGTACATATCTAATAAAAATGTTCTTATAAAAGTATCTAGAAAATATGGGTGTCCCTTTGCATCCTGTAGGCAAATACTTTCAGTCTTAAATTTTTCCATTGCACTTGAAAATATCAAGCGTCTGTCCATTTCTTTCATTTTCAGCAAGCAGTATCAACCAACCAGAATCAAGAATCTTTGATTTATTTTTTTGTCCTGAAACTGAAACTTTCCTTTAGAGAATTCACATTTTTTGGAACACTATAGACCCTAGCTCTGTTAATGTCAATTAATTAATCTTGACAGCATGGTAGACAGCTTATTCAACTAACAGGAGACAAACTATTGTCTCCATTTAAGAATTGTGTCAGTGTTATTTCTCATGTTATAATTAATGGAGTGGGGAGAAAATTTTGACAAAAGAAATAATTGTTTTAAATAATCAAAATAAAGTTAACGTCTGCCATCAAGGCAATGGCACAGTTCTTTTAGAACCTGGTGACAGGGTAAAGTTTTTCTTTTTTGAAAAGCTATATGCTTCCACTTTTCTAACTATAAAAATTGAAAAACTTCTGCCAGAAAGCTGAGGGCCAAACTATGGGCCCATTTAGTAAATGCTCTCCTGCTCTTATCTAAGGAGACTGTGTTATCCTTGTTTTTATGGCTTGTAAGTAGAGTTCCTTGATTCCTATTTTATTATTATAATATATTTAAACTCTAAATATTTATGGAAAAAAGCAAAGGAAGCGTTCATGAATTTTAACAAGACACTCATCCCAAGCCCTTTCCTGGGCCCCCTCCTAGGTGTCCCCACCTCCCTGAGCAAAGGGAATAGGTTTCCCTTTCGCCCCTTAAGAGGGGTGAAATATCTGCCAGTAAAACCCACCTCAAGAACACAGGCATCTAAGGACTTTCCTTGAAAGAAAAGCTGCCAAAGCCAATTTAACCCCCAAAGAGTGTGTAGTGAGTGCTGACAGCTTTCAACCGCTGGCTTCCTGGGACGAATGGGGAAGCTGGCGACTTGCTGCACACCCCTCTTCTCAAGGGTGCTGCAGTAAACCCACTTAGCTTGGGGGTGTCCTCAACACTAAAAGCACCATGAAATAAAAGCTTTTAAATAAGTTGTCCCTTAACAACAGAGATCAATTTAAAACCCCGCAAGCCCCCATGAAAGGGGGTGCAGGGGCTTAGATTTCCTCCTGGGAAGCCTCTGGCGTAAAGGGCAAGCGGTATCTACTACAGCAAGCCAAGAAATCCAACGCAGGCTGTGCAGCTAGCCAGGCAGGGATCCCTGGAAAGGGTACAGCAGCGCCCTCTCAGAGCCTGCTTCAGGGCTGGTGGGCCTAAATGTACTCTTGCCTTCAGCTCTGTTTTGCTTTCCTGTCATGCAAATGTGTGCCACACTGTGACCCTGAAGTGGTTGCCTGCTGCAGGCCAACGGTGGGAGAGGTATTGACATGGGTGAGGCTGGCCCCACTCCTGGCACAGCGAGCTCACACGCTCTGAGGCGATGCCAGTGCAGGATAGCCTTGGAGTCAGCAGACAGCCCAACGGGGCTTCGCGCCTGCGTGTGCTTATCACCTGCCCCTGAGACTATAAAGAGACTAGCACTTTGTTAGGCGACTGTTCGCCCCTGCTTTGCAAGAGAAGGCCATGTAAACAATTACAAGCTTTAAAAGGAGGGCAAAATATTGAACTTCTCAATTTGAATTCTGTGTATTAGTTTTCTCGGGCTAATGTGAAGGTCTCTAACGTTTTGTTAAAGTGGTAGCATGCCTTGATGACTTTCTGAGCCCATGAAACTACCAACCAGTGGCTGACAATTTTTAATTAATCGTGAGCAGCGTCACAATGGATTCGGAGAAGCAATAAACAGCGTGGCAACTGATCTTTGAACAATTCGAGGGTTCTAATGCAGAAAGAAGCAGACCAAGAAGAGTTTCAAAAGATCCCTGATTCGTTCCCAACATTCTGCAAAGGAAATTTTAGAATCTCAGCCATCACTTCATTAGCTCAAAATTTATGAGACACGATGAGACTTGGACAAGATCACCTAACTTACTAATATGCATGCGAAAACTAACTTTATAATAAACAGGTAGGGGTAGAAACCTGGGGAGGGAACAGCAACACCTCACTAAATCTGATTTCCAGGCACGCACACCTCATTTCCACGCCCCTGGGTTAGAAATCAAACTCCGGCAAGATGATCCATTGCGGGATGACGACTGGGTCTCTCCTCCTCTGTTCCCATTAGATCCGGACTTTCGTAAAAAATAGTAGGGTAGCTCCGCACTGGCCCCCCATCTATCGGTCTAATTAGCTCATTGTTCAAATCTTTCAAAAGAAAGGAAAGAATTGCAGTTTGTTCTGCGCGGTATCTTTTCTTCTGTCCCAGTTGTCAGTAAATCTTCAACCAACTTTTCCTGAAAGGGATGTGGCAGGGGAGCTACGAGGCTTAAACTAACTCTCTGTCTCTCTGTCTCTCTGTCTCTCTGTCTCTCTCTGTCTCTCTCTCTCTGTCTCTCTCTCTCTCTCTCTCCTTACGCCACTCCTCCAATCCCCAACTCCACCCCACCCCCACCATGCCTCCACCGTTTCTAAATAAGCCAAAGTGCTTTAAAAGACTTTCCTACCTCCGTTTCTTCTTCTGACCCAAGACAGACGGACGTGAGACAGACTAGACGCCCAACCAGTGGGCAGGAACATATGATACTTAAAAAGAATATAAGATCTAATGAGGAAAAACTCAGCGAATTGGAGCTAAATATCTTAGAGACAAATCAGCACACCGCATGTTAGTGTTCAAATGCTGTCTGTTGCCCTCTTCTTTCTTTACGAGATATGCTCTGGAAAAACACTGGCCTCTTTACTTTAAAAATATTTTTAAGCGGCTTCAAATCCGTGTGTGCTTTCAAACGCGGCTGCTGTATCTTTCCTTACGCTCGGGACCGTGGTTTAGTCTTCAAAGACAAGTATGGGAAAACTTTAACCAGTTGCTACTTTATTGCAAGCTAACCATTTCCCTCCGCAATTTTTCGCAATCGTTACAATGAAATACACTCGCAGGGTGAGAATGATGATTTCAGGTTTTGCCCCCGGCGTTTGGAAGCGCCCGCTAATTTGCTCGCGTGGCAAATGTTAATTGCACATGCAGACTTTGGCTTCCAGAGAAACGCTCAGCCCTGCAGGCGGGGCGGAGGGCGAGCTCGCGCCTGCACCGCAGCGCCTGCCCCAGGGCTGAGCGCGCCGGTACCTGAACCCCGGCTGGGCAGGCGAGGCCGGGCACTCGCAGGCGCGGGCTCCCCACTCCCAGCTGCTTGCGACCCGGGAGCACTCAGGAGGCCTGGATACCCGCTCGCCCTCCGCCTTGCCAGGAGGAGCCAGGAACCGCAGCGGAGCTGGGGTTCCCCGCCGCTCGCAGCCTCGACCCCATCCCGCCCGCCCGGCCCGGGGCAGTGTTTTAGCAGTCGGGTTGGAGCGTTTCAGATTTCTGTTCACAGGGTCACCGAAGGCACCAAAGAGACCACGGCTGGTGGGACCAGGCTTTGGGCTTTCGTGAGGGTCTAACACGCCAGCTGCAGGTCCTCGGTTTGGCCAGGACCCACGCCCGGGTCTAATCTTTTCCCGTCTCTTTCCCGCCCTACTGGTGCCCGCGTGGGGAGAGAATGGAGTGGTCCGAAGATGCCTGCCCGAAACAGGTCCCCGGGATGACCTGGTGCGTGCACGGTGGGGGGCCGTGGGGATAGAAGAAGGTTTTTTCACCCGGAGCCCGACGCTGCCTGGGCGACACGCGTGGGTCTCCAGCTGGACCCCAACCAGCCCGGCCCCCGGTCCCGCTTCGTCCGCGGTCTCGTTCGCTGCTGCTCTCTGCGAATCCAAATCGGCGGAGCCGGCTGGAAAATCCCCAGGACGAAGACGGAAAGAGCAGCTTGGAAACGCGGGCTGAGCGCACGCGGAGTTTACACAACCCGCGCCGTCCACGCACCAAGGATGACTGGACACCAGTGGCGCTTTAGGAAACACCCTCGTGGTCCAAGCACGCATCTTCTCCACCTGTATCCTAATAACTGCGGCTCCGCGATTGCGCTCTCG